GCCTTCGCCCCCTAACTCGAGGCAGGCTCCTCTGGCGAGGCGTCCCCGCTAGGCCTCGGAAACGGGGCCAGCGCAGCGAAGGACGCGCCAGAGCTTCCCCCAGAAGCCTCCGGGCGTGGACGTCGCCCTTCTGCTCGGGGAAAGAAGGCGCTGGCCAGGATGAGGGACAGCGCGGCGGGGCCGCAGCGGCACTTCTCCTCAGCCCGGGCGAAGGGGACGAGCCACCTCGCGACACGCTCGGAGGCCCCGGCCTCCTCCTCGCCTGGGCCGCGAGCCGCGAGCAAGAGCCACAGGGGCCAGATGCCTGAAACCCCGCTCGGGTCTCCGAGGTCTCCCCGTCTGCAGAGACCCTTCTCGGCCCGCCCCCTCTGGGGAGCACCAGCCGGTGGCAAAACGGGGGCGCAACCCCGAAATGAGCTGACCTCTCCAGAGAGGTTGTCCCGAACCCGCTTCCCACTCTGGTTTCAGCTTTCTCTGGGGCTTCCTGCTTGCCCCCGCTCCTTAAGGTTCGCTGCCTTTTAGGCGTACTGAGCGAGCATTCGCCTGCTTTATTTTATGGTGGCAGCCGCTTATAAAGAAAAAATCAATACATACCGAGGCAGGGAGAAGTCATGAGCAGATTTGCGAAGACAGGTTTGTGACTTTTAATTAAAGACAATCAAAGCATCTCGGTCTAAAATATGACTTGACACATCAAGTAATGGTGCATCAGGAAAGCAAAAGCAGTCAAACCTTTTGGATCATTGCATGATTAGATACGACACCCGCTGCTTGTCATTCAAACATCCCAAGATGGGCTAAATTCAGTGTTTTCACTTGTACCAACTGAACGAATGAGATCAAGGGGACGAAGATGAGAACCACGCTATTAAACAAAACAATATTTTTACCAAGTGTCTGGGAAGCATTTGGGTACCTCAGATTCGACAATCAAAATTTACTGTCCAGTACTGGCTCCTCATGAAATTAGCACCTCTGCAGATCATCCATGTTAACACTTTTCTTCTAATTATGATATAAAACATACCAGAAAAGCTTTTTAATATTACCATTACAGCAGCATAGTAGTACGATATTCTTTCACTTGTGAACCTTTGTCAGAAAGATATTTTAGTTCCACTGAAGACACTAGTTTAAAAAATAAATACACGGGGGTAAGAAAATGCGTCTTTTACAAAACTTGCGGAGCCAGCGAGTGCTAGCCTGCTGGAGTTCAGCCCCCCAATGAAGTCACAACCAAAGCACGTTCCCTAAAATGGAAAACAGAGGAGGACTAAGGCTGTGCCGTTATACCGCTACACGCGGCAAAAAGACAAGACGGAATCGGGGAGGAAAACAAAGGGGGACAAGAGCACGCGGGACCCTCCCTCCCCCGTAGAGATGGCGGCCATTCCAGGAGCAGGGCTTCTCTAGAGCCAGCCTGTGACGATATCCAACTGAGTGAAAGAGACTAGATGAAGAGACCGACCCCCGGGATCCGTTCCGAAAGGGCTCGCAGATCAGGGTCACCGTGCGGATCACGCTCCCGGCAGCAGAACTCTCAGCTCCCGAGGGAAGCCCAGGAGGCGCGACCGAGAACAAAACGAGACGCCTGGCTAAGAGCGCAGCCCGGGCGTCGGACCAGCCGGCTACGGTCGATAGCAGCGCCCATCGCCAAGCAGGCACCCAAGAGCTGGCGCAGGCTTTGGGCCCCAGAGGGCTTATCCACGGCCCTGGGCAGGTCAGGAGGCTGTGGTGGAAGACCATCGCACAGGGAAGTCCTGCAAGAGGCAGCTAAGATGGAGACATTTCCAGAAAACCCTGGGATGCCAAGGGCAGCAATGGACCAACACTGCACTTCTGCATTATGAGATACAGGAAAGCTAATTCAGCTCTGAAAATCTGCTGCGGTCCCACAGCAAAGAGGGGGGTCGCAGCGGCAGCAGCTGTTCTGGGGAAAACAAGGCTGGGGCTCAGGCAGAGTCTCCTGGCGCATGCCGGCGGGTTGCTCCATGATGACCGGCTTCTCCTTGGAGAAGGGCTCCGGCTCCAGTCTACCTCCCTGCCGCGGAGGCTCCTTCTCTGACTTGACCGCTAGGAAGGCCATGAGGTCCAAATCAAGCATCGTCACCCCTCCGCGTGGGGTGGGGGTGTTTTGGCGGCACTGTGGGCACGGGACCCACCACTGCTCGTTGGCCACCATATTAAGGCGCCGGATACAGGCCTGGCAAAACGTGTGGCCACAGTAGAGGCGGCGAGGGAGGTGGGCAGAGAGGTCATAGCAGCAGTAACAGATGATGCACTCGATTTTGTGGCTGCTGGGACTGGGGACGACAGCCTCCGGGCGGAGCCTGGCAACCTCACCGCTCTCAGGCCCCGAAGTCAGAGGAATCCTAGAGGGGATGAACCAAAGAGAAGGGTCATTCGGTGCCAGATGCGGACCGGCTATTGGACTGCAGCTCCGGGGGGCTCGGTCTGTCTGCTGTATCGGATACGCCTGTGGCAGAAGGCAGGGAGCTCGGGGCTGACCTTTCAACGCTCCGAGTGCATCTCAGTCTGAAACTCCCAATTCTTCTCCTGATCCTGACTCTGAGGCCCTGACCTAAAGTGAAGGAAGAAGGCTACCGCTTTCCAGCCGCATCGTGATCGGGACCAACAGTTAGGTTGCTGGCAAAGGAATTAAAGGTTTTAGATGGCTGCCTTATTCCTTTGCATTGGTGGATCCTATGCAGCACTATCTACAATTGGCTCTGTAGATTCTGACACAAAGTTGGCCAGCAAAACTGACCCCTTGAGAGCAGGGGACAGACAGCAAGCTGACCAAGCAACTTACTTAAGAGGCTTAGTTCAAGGGGAAAACAAGGAAGAATTAGATGAAAACCTCAGCACCTCAAATGGAGAGCTCGCAAGTGGGATGTGGCTGTCTCCTGTGAATTGCCCCAAGGCCATGGCTCTTTGCAAGAGTTCACCTTATCCAAAGCAAAAGAGAGGAAAACAGATAGGACTCTGTGGCTACACGATCAGCATGCCGATTTCTGTGGGAGGAAACTTACATTTCCTGCTCTTGCTGCATCCTCACTCTTCTCAAGAGAAAGAAATGGAGGCTGACAGCTTCTGGACGCAGCCTCTCACTCTGTTAAATTATATGAGGTTCGCATTTCAGGCACGGTTGCGGTACTGTATCTACCATGAGGAGGCCAATTCACAAGATAGAGTTACCGTTGTCACGGCTGACAATAGCCACAGAAATGCAATAATATGCTCCCTCCCTGCCTGTCTCCTCCAGCAGAGCCCAGCATTCATCTCTCCAACACTGCCCTGGATGTCAAGAGTGAAACAACCTTTCTGCACAAATGTCTGGAGCGTTCAGGTCCTACTAGCACGAGAAACAATCCCTCGGATTTCAAATATTCCTGGGCCCCAGGAGCCCTCCGTGGTCACTCCTGAACATCAGGGCCTCTGTGTCCCTGCCCCTCCACACGGCTCGCTATCTTCTGCAGCGTGGGCTTCTGCTAACGCCAGAGACAGACTTTTCTACCCTGGAACTAAGTCCAAGGCTTCTACCCCTCCCGACCGCAAGGAGAGCAGCGCACGGAAGGGGGGGGCTGCTGCTTGGACCCAGCCCCAGGGCTCTCCTGAGGCGCACCAGGTGAACCTGCCAACGTGGAGAACGGCCCTGGGTCCGACTGCTTGCAACAAGGGCCGGGTGCCTCGGGAGGCCTGGGCTGCCGGTGGAGCTGCACCTCGTACGCTGGGGACGTTTCTTCTCCGGGCTCAGTGGGAAGACCGATCCAGAATAGCCTCAGGGATGCTATGCTGCTCCTGGGCCTGGGCCTGGGCCTGGAACCACAACCTTGGCCACTGGCCTAGAGGGGGACTTTTCACTGGCAGCCCCATACCTGGGATTTCTTCCTCTGGAGGAACAATACTCCTCTTTGGGTGGCGTTTACTGGATTTTTTAAAAAATCCCACTCAGCCTCTTATTGGTGGCTTAACTGTCAATCTACTAGCTTTTCTGGTATGCCATATTAAGGATTTATTGTAAACTTCCTTGTGAAAGAAAGATAAGAAAGTTAAATAACAATTCTGCATTTCTAAAAAGTTCAGAATCGGACCACTGTTCCACCTATTTTTCATACAGAAAATCCCCATAATTTCCAAATGGGCTGAACAATGAAAGGAAGCAGCAAGAGAATACAACTGTTATAAGCCAACAGATGCTTTGCCCATCATTTAAGTTCCTTCTTTTCCCATTGCCAAATCCTGATAACTGGCTCTCAGAAAGCGTTCTTGGAGGTGACTCCGAACAGGGGCACTCCCCCCCCGGAAGTCGGGCCGCACAATGAGGGTAACGGAGGGGCTGGGCTGAACAGAGGCTGCTGTTCCCAAGTGTCGCCTGAACGGTGGCTGACAAATGCTTTTATGCCACGTTGCTCTGCATTCTGGCCTGGAGTAACTAAGATCAGGGGCAGAATAAGTCACATGCCAGCTGAACAGTGCCTCGCCCACATGGGCATAGAAATTCTACCTTTCAGTGGTACCATCAGTTTACAAAGCAGACTCGTGGCAAGTCAAGAAGTGGGGTTGAACAAGGAAAGACGGATGGAAAAACGCAGACAGACGAGCAGGCCAGACCCAGAGCAAGCACTTGCTTGCTGTCCGTTTCTTCACAAAAAAGCCCCTCCCCATAAGGACACACAGCAGTGGGGCAAGCACCAGTCTGACCACATTCCTCATTCCTCTTCACAGAAAGAGAGAGGCCACGGGAGGGAGGGCTGTTTCAATGAGCTCAGTGGAGGGAGCACAGTTCCCATGAGGCTGAGCCTCGGGAAAGGGAGGAGAGTCAGACCGGGGGGGGGGTTAACTAACCATTAAGGTGGTTAGTGGCTTCCTTCTGCTGCTTGCCTGCCTGCTGACAACACTTGCTGGAGAATCGAGCAGGCAGGCAAGCAGCTGGCCCATTTCTGGCCCGCAGGCCGATGCGCCATCTGAACACAGGAGGCAGAGCTCACCCAGCTACTAAGAGGGGAGGCTACCAGCAGAGCGCCCGCTGCACCAGCCACTCATTGCAGCGCTGGAATGATGGCTTCTGTGACTCTCCCAGGCTTCTCCTTGCTCAGGAAACACAAGGGCATCGCTGCTTTGGACAGCTTGCACCAGCCTCTTCATTTCCACTGGGTGCCAACCCAGAAGTGCCAACGAAAGCAGTGACCGAGTGGCAAGAAGGTGGGCCGGGGCTTACCGGTACTGGCAACCTCCGGCTCCAGCCGCACCAGACCCCTGCCCTGCCCTTAGCCCGCTACAAGCAGGAGCCAAGGAAGCCGAGTCTCCCTTGCCTTGGCAACAAAGCCCCTGCAGGACCCCCAAATGCAGAAATCAAAAGCAATGCCATTCCTCTTATTTTTCCTTTGGGCATTTTATTATCAGCCAGCAGGGCGTGCTGCCCAGTCAGCCTCAGCAATTAATTTGGTTTCCTCTCCTCGGCTCAGAGCGGGGGCCCGCTTTCCCGGCCCCAGAAGCCAGCCAGGCAGCTCTCACACGGCAGCCTTTACGAAGCAGCCCCAAAAGCCCCCCCCTGCCTCCGCTGAGCAACAGGGTGTGTGCTACTGTGCGCTCCGGTGCCAATGCCTCCATTACCAGGGAATCTGAAAAGGAGGCCAGGCGGGGCCATCGGGGGAGTGGAAGAGAAAGAGGCAGGGTGCCCCATGCAGGAAGCTGCGGCAGGGCAAGGTTGGCAAGGGACACTCGTCAACACACGGAATCTCGCCCTGCTGGGGCCTCGCCAAGGAACGCCCATGGGGCGACCTTAGGAGCGTGTGTCCTTGGAAGGCTCGCAAAGCAAGTCACAAGCCAGATTGCTTTGGGTAAGATAAGGAAAATGGAAAAGCCTCCACAGAATGCAGAAAAACTGGGCAAAGACTCCGGGATGGAGAAGGAGAGAGGCAGAGGGCCATAAAGAGACCGGCTGAGCCAGGGCAAGTTTTATTACTCTTGCTGTTTACAGAGAACCTTCCGCGCACCTCTGCTCACAGGGCAGAGGCCGAGGAGCCCCACCCTGAGCAAGGACTGCCTTCCACCCAGCCGGCGGCCGACAGCCGCTTCCTCCCCCCACCTCCCAGAATCCAGCGCCAGGCCCACCAGCAGCCCCCGCTCGGCCTCCGTGTTTCTTCTACCTATTCGTCACTCAGTCTGTCCTGGGATTTCGCTTCCGGAGCGAGGCAGCAAGAGGCGCAGGTGCCGGAGGCAGCTTCAGCTTCTGCTCCTGCCCGAACCGCAGCTGTGGCAAAGCAGCCTTCCTGCCCCCCGCCCTGCGTAGTCCTCACAGACAGGAGCGAATTTGTCTGCCAGCTCCGGTTCAGATTCGGAGTTAAATAGCAAGAAGTACCGAGTCGATCCACCCTGATCTTTGCAGGGCAACGCTTTCCCTTTTCCTTTGCTTCGTGCTCCTCTCCATCAAATCTGGTTAAGGCCATCCTCCTCCTGTATTGCTTCAATGGGGGAGGGGGGGAAGAAGGTTCGCGGCTCCACCAGGCCTCCCAGAAATCGCGGAGCAGCCACCCTCGCAAAGTCGGAGGCAAACGTCCCAGCAGCCCTGCTGGGGGCACAGGTGAGGGTGGCGCGTCCCAGTCTCCAGCTGCTCCTCGAGCGATTAGGAGACAACGCAGCAGTGCTTCCTGCAGCAAGGGCAGCATCTGAGGCAGCAAGGAGAGCAACAGCTGGTGCAGCTGCCACCGCTGGGGTCCAGAGCTGCCCCTGCGTGGCTTTTCCAATGGAAGGACTCTGGAGTGTCCGCCCTGGGAATCTTGAGGCTGGCGTAGGGGTTAGCGGGCCTGTCCTGCGACTCCTCCTGCGCCTGGGCTTTCTGCCCATTCCAAGCCAGAGAAGGTGGCCTTGGGACTGCTGCCACCCCCTTCTCTGGGGCCGCCGAGTACGTGGGTAAGACGCTGGGACTGAAGAGAACGGTGTCCGAGGTTAAGTCATCCCCCAGGTAATATCTCAGGAAGCCATCCTTCAGCTGTGCCTGGGGAACAGTGACGCTGGCATACGGGTTCTCGATGGTGAGCCCACGGTCCATGGCTGCCTGCTCTGGCAGATGCCTGTGGAAGGGCAGCAGCTACAGCAGGCCCCCCACCCTGGGGTGCACCCCACCTGCCCAGCCGCTGCTTCTCTTGTCTGGTCACCGAAGAACCAACACTTGGAGACAAAAAGGAGATTTTATCATCAGCAATTTCCCCGTGCTGCTGAGCGAGAAATGATATTAGCTGTGCTAAACGTACAGAGAAAGTAAGGAACCAGCAATCCCCTTTCTTCTGGAGGAGGGACACGAGAAGGCTGGCAGCCCACCAGAAAGGGGCGTGTGCGTGGGGGGGAGGCTGGATCATAGCCCGTTTCCAAAGCAGCAACTACCCTGTGGACTGCAGCCTGGGCCGCCTCCAGAGCCCGGACAGCTGCCCAAACCATAGAGCTGGCCACACCTCCGGTGACAGCAGCACAAAACGGCTGAGAAAGTCAAAATGAGGAAGCAGCGGAGGGGCAGCCCAGGGGCCACTCGTTCTCCCACCCAGGCACCAGGATTTGGTCAGCCACTTTCAACAGGCTGAATTTCAACCAGTAGACCTTGTTTCCCTGGCTCCTGGCTCTTCCTTCTGGGGGGCCAGCCCCTGGTGACCCTTGTCCGAAAGAAGGGTCTCCAGCACTGTGGTTCTCTTGAGAAATCCTGGGTGCCACGTTTGGGTCCAGGAAGACCCTTCGGCACCAAGCTTCTCCTGTGTGTGTGTGTGTGGGGGGGACAGCCGCACCAGTGGAACCTCTTTCTACAAAAGGCAAGGGAGGTCCTTCAGACTCAGAGCTACCTCCGTCCCAAAACAAAAAGGGCCTGGCTGGCGGGGGAACCGCTTCCCAGTGCTGCCTGCCCAGCGCCTTGGGTCCCACCTGCATCCCTCGGGACGGGCAGGTGCACCCAGGGGGACCCCAGCGCCTCTCCTGGCCACCAGCCTGGTGCTTTCTCCGAGTCAACATCAACCCCGGTGCCCACTCCGACCCAAGCCGTGCCGTCGCTGCCTCGGGAGAAGAGTCGGCTTCGGCGCGCCCCGCCTGACCTACCTCACAGGGCTGTGGGGAAGATGATGTCCCCTCAACCCGCCACACTCCCGGCCGACGCTCGCCCTCTCTTTGCGAACGGGTCTGCTCCGCCTCTAGCCAGGGAGGGAGGCGGCGGGCGCGCCCTTCTCGCCGGCGGCCCTGCGCCCTCCCCCCGCGGCCACAGGCCAACAGTCACCCGGAGAAGCCGCCTCGTCTGCCCTCAAAGGCAGCGGCGCCGCCCAGGAAACCTTCGGCCGCCCCGCTGGAGCCAC